TATAATTGAAATATAAAATATACATGTTTAAAGTGTGTAATTTGATAAGTTTTAACACATCAGTACACCCCTGAGGCCATCAACACAATCAAGATGACGGGCACGCATGGTCGCTAAAAATCTCACCTTTGTAACCCCTCCTCCCAGCCCCACGTGACCTGTGATCTGCTTTCTACTATTGTAGCTTGTTTGCATTTTCAAGGCTTTTACAGAAGTAGAATTATTTATATGTATATGCTCTCTCTCTTCTAGCTTCTTTCACTCAGCATAATTATTTTGGATTTCATCCATGTTCATCCAATGTATCAATAGCTCATTCCTTTTTATTGCTGAGTAGTACTCCACTGCACAGGCCACAATTTGTTTATCCATTCACCTCTTGATACACATTTGGATTATTTTCAGTTTTTGACTATTACAAATGAAGTTGACATGAACATTCACGTACAACTCTTTGAGTTGATATATGCTTTCATTTCTATTGGGTGAATACCTAAGAGTTCAAAGGCTGGGTACTATGATATGTATGCATTTAACATTTTAAGAAACTGCCAAGCTGTTTTCCAAAGTGGCTGCATCATTTTACACTCTCATCAGCAGTGTATGAGAGTTCTAGTTGCTCCGTGGACTCAGCAATACCTGGTATGGTCAGTCTTTGTAGATGGTGTAGCTCATTTGGTTCAGACTTGAATTTCCCTGATGACTAATGATACTGAGCATCTTTTCATACATCTATTTGCCATCGATATGTCTTCTGTAGTTAAACAACTGTTTAAATCTTTAGCTCAGTTTTCAATCCAGTTATGTGACTTATTGAGTTCTCAGAATTCTTTATATGTATTTGATACAAGTCCTTGATCAGATATATTATTTATAAATTTCTTCAAGTGTGTGGCATAACTTAAAGATGTCTTCTGAATACCAGAAGTTCTCAATGTTGGTGCATCCAATTTATCAATCCATCAATGCCCTAGTGCCCCAAACCATCAGGAACACTGGGTGTGTTTTGGTTTATTACTCATTGCAGTGAGGGAGAATGCTCGCCAGGGGGAACTACGGGGAGTCTTGATAAGAGGATATTGGAAAGAACCTGTTATGGAGTTTGGGCTTTGGTTGGGTAATTTTGAGAAAGATCTAAGGAAGTGGGATCTAATCGGGTGCTGTCAGAGAGCAGGTGCAATTCTATCATTGGTTGCCTCAAATCTTATTTATAAGGAGGGCAAACTGGAGCAAGAATAAAGCTATGAAGCTGATAAAGAAGTAGTAGGCATTCATTTTAGCTGAGAGAGGCAGATGGTCAATATTTTGTGGTTTGCACAGTGATCTTGTTTTTGTCTCGCTTTATCATGGTCTCAGAGTGACTTTGATGTTGGTATTCTATGAGGATGTTTATGTCCAACAGGAGAACAACATTAACTAGTTGTGAACATCAGGCCATATTTGTAATAGGCCTTGCTGTGAGTGTCAGACCAGTTCCCGGATTTAAGAGGCCCCTTTTTCTTTTTCTCTTATGGATTATGATTTTGCTGTTATATCTGAGATCTAAAGTCACAAAGATTCCCTCCTACACATTTTTTTCCCTAGCAGTTTTATGATTTACTTTTAAGTCAATAATCATTTTTAAGTTAATGTCTCTGTATAGATGAAAATTTTTTTCATCTCCTCCTTTTTGCATATAGATATCCAATTATTCCAGCATCGTTGGTTGAAAAGACTGTATTTTCTTCACCGAATAGCCTTTGTTGAGAATAAATTGCTCATATATATGTGTGGATCTATTTCTTTGGAATCTCTACCTATCCCATTGATCTACTTACTTATCTTGACACCAAAACCACACTGTCTCAATTACTATAGCTTTATGACTCTTAGAGACTATACTTTGTTCTTTGTTTAAATTGCTTTGGATTTTTTAAGTGCTGTACATTTTCATATGAATTTTAGAATCAGCTTGTCAATTTCTACAAAAAGGTATGCTGGAATCTTGGTTGAGATAAGAGTTGAATCCATAGATCAACTTGGGGAGAACTGACATCTTGACAATACTGAGTCTTCTGATCCATGAACATAGTGTATCTCTCTACTTGTTTAGGTCTTTTTTGATTTCTCTCAGTGACATTTTGTAGTTTTTAGTGTATAGATCTTTTATATATTTTTTCATATTCTTAAAATTTTCAGTTTTTATGATTATAAATGATATCATTTTTAAATTTCAATTTCTACTTTTTTCTAGTATATAGAAATTCAGTTATTCATTCCATGGGCTATTTAAAGGTATGTTCATAGTTTCTAAATATTTGAGGACTTTCTAGATACTTTTCTATTATTGATTCCTGTTTTCAATCCACTGTGATCAGAGAACATACTTTGTAAGACTTGACTCCTTGAATTCTTTTAAATTTGTTGAGACTTGTTTTATGGCTCAAATATGCACTATATCGGTAAATGTTCCAAGGGCACTTGAAAAGAATGTGTAGTCTATTGTTGGATGTAATGTTTTATAAATGTCAGCCAGGTCAAGCTGATGGGTAGTACTGTTTAAGTCTCCTATATCCTTACTAATTTTCAATATACACATTCTCTTGATTGTTGGGAGAGGAGTACTGAAATCTCTAACTATAATTATGAATTTATCTATTTCACCTTACAGTTTTGTTTTTGCTTTATATATTTTAAAATTCTATTATTAGGTGCAGGCATGTTTAGAGTTGTTATGTCTTCTTGACTAATTGACCCCTTTATGATGATGAAATTCCATCTTTTCTCCTAGTAATATTTCTGGCTATGACATATACTTTTTCAAATATCAGCTAGTCGCTCTGGCTTTATTTTGGTAAGGGTTACGATGGACCATCTTTTTTCCATCCTCTTACCTTTAACTTATTTGTATCTTCTTATTCAAAGTAGGTTTTTTGGTAGGCAGCATATATTTGGATTGTTGAATATAATTTGACAATCTTTACCTTTTAATTATGATGTTTAGACCATTAATACTTAACTAACATTAATTGATATGGTTGAATTTAAACTACCATCCTGCTATTTGTTTTCTATTTGTCTCATTGTTTTTGTTCCTTTTCTCCTTTTTTCATCTTTCTTTTGAAATAATAGTTTTTAAAAATAATTTCATTTAATCTGCTTTATCGGCTTTTTAGCTATAGCAGTTTGTTATTTAAGTGGTTCCTTTATGGTTCAGAGTATACACATCTTTAGCTTATAACAATTTTCCTTCAAGTGATATTACATTTCACATGTAGTGTTAGAACCTTACCAACAATATCCGTCCATTACTCTACTTGATTTTGTGCTATTTTTGTTACACATTTTATTTCTATATATGTTACAAACCTCACAATACAGTAACATTTTTGCTTTAAACACTTCTTGCACTCTGCAAGCATACCTCCAACAGGCTCTTCCTTTCTGTTCTTTTGCTAGAAATTTGTCTAAAATAAGAATGGATCCTGAGATCAAAGGTTTCATAATCTTTAGTGTATATAGTCTTTGTTGCACCAATTTAACAATTTAGAAGCTTTTTCTTCGTAGCTCTTGGTTGTTGGTTGTGACTTTTTTGGATAAACAACCTTCAACTATAAGTGAATCATTACTATGTGAGGAAAATAGATAAAAATCTCAAAAGTGATTAAAAAGTTTGAAATAATTCAGTAATGAGAAACATCGAAGCCTAGTTTGACTACAACTGTTAGTCAAAATAGACAGCTGGGGGAGAAATTCATAGAAAGGACGCGTGGGGTGGGAGGTGGGGGCCGCTCTTTATTTTAGGACTACAGAGTTGGCCAAAGTTACCTCCTTTTCCCTTTAACGAACTGTTCTAACAATATCTCTCTTCACTTAATAAGGCATTTCCTCTTGTCCAAAAATTTGAGATATATTTTCTTTAGCCAGAATTTTGAGATGTAGAAAAACCTTGCAAGCTTCAAATGAAGAAATTTTGACTTGATATAATGAGTATAAATTCTGTAATATCGTAATGTGTTTTACTACATTCAAATACATAGAAATAGGTGGAACAATGGGGAGAGAAATCGGGCTACGTATAGTGAAAATTCGGAAAACTAGTTTCAATGAGCATAGAAGGAACGCTCAGTCCTTGCTTATACACCAATGTAGCTTTTAACTCCCTCCTTCTAGCAACTTCTATGTATAGTAAGTACTCCATGTTAGGAGACACTTAAAAATCTCTTTCTGCTTCCTAATCCAGGGCACAATTTCCATTTCTCAAATACTTCCTCTTCCTAGCACCTATTTTGGTATTTCTTCACGTTCTCTATTAAAATGATTATTCTGTCTAAATTAGAGTTCCAAAACATTCCTGTCTAATTGAGAATTCCATTAAGAGAAGCTTGTGATCATCCATTCCTGCCCACTTCAGGGTTCCCGTCATCTAAGACAAGTTTCTAGGGATGCGTGATGCACTTAGGAACTTGTCCTCTGTTCTCTTTTGTAACCACAGCTACGGGTTGTCTAGGCGGCCAGGTGTCCCGGCACAGGCTGGTGCCGCGGGGCACGAGGGCTGGGCGCCCCACAGTCTCACCTGCTGTAAGCGCTGCGCGGAGGCTCGGGGGTTAGCTGCCTGGGCTGCGGGGAGAGAACGTGTGCACACACAGACGCGGGGCCGCCCGGAGCTAGTAGGAGGCAGGTTCGTAGGAGACGCGGACCCGGAGAGGGTCGTTGCGTTCCGACTGGTGACCGGGTTACATAAGGCAGTGCAACGAGGAGGGCGCCACGCGTGGGCAGGGCCTGGCCGCGCCCGCCGTG